TTGCAGGTCGTCAGAGCCTGGACTCTTGAGCCTTGACCTCCGCCGACCGCCATGCGCTTGAGTGCTAAGCCAGTTGTTGCTTTCCTTAAGGTTTTTCTTCGCCAATCTCCGTTCTTAGCTATTGTCTCTTTTTTCTTTTATATCTGTTTATTGCTTTATCTCTCACGTAGTCAATCAAATATAAATAAAGTAGAAATTGGTACCTTTTGATTACTATGCATACACACCTCTTTCACAGAGTAACAAATAGTATTTGTTTAATATATATATATATAATATATATATATATATATATATATATATATATAATATATATATAATATATATATTATAGTGTGTGGTGTGAAAACTGCAATAAAGCCCTTACGTATTCGTCTCATAATCGATTTAGTTCCTATACTTTTTTTTATTCAATTAAGTCCCAAAAACTGGTAATCGTATTCAATTTAGCCCTTTGACCCGGTCAACAGGTCATCCAACTTTCAACAATTACATTTTTGGCCCAGATTTCATAACTTATTACAAATTTGGTCTAAAATTTACACTTTTGGCCCAAATTTTAAATTTTATTACAAATTTATTCCAAAATTTACCTTTTTGGCCCAAGTTTTAGAATTATGTTATGAATTCATTCTAACTTTAGCTTTTAATCACTTCCATATCATAAAATAAGTATGTCTCTAAATTCAACAGACAGAAAGATAATCAGGACCATTGAATCCATGTTAAATGATTGTTGTGTTTTTGTCTCCTTTGAGTCTTTTTCATCCATATTATATTAGCCTTGATTATTTTTCTTTTTAATTATTTTAGAATTCATTATAACAAAATCAAATTAAATCATAGCATAACGAAAAATCAATTACAAAAAAGAGATAAAACTGCAATATATAAAAAAGAATCAAAATAGGATCTCTTTGAGTTTAATATTATACTCCCTTTTAGTTTGGATCATCGCCTGAAAATAGGATCTCTTTTGAGTGTATATTATGTTATTTTTATTAAACCGGTTTTAATTACATATTCTATTAGTTCCACGTAAATTACAACAAATAATTGTTTATATAGCTATCAAAAAGATTTATAAATGGAAATGTAAAATATAATTTATTATGTCAAACAAAATTGTTAAATAAGTCTATTTATGTACTTAATAAATACCTAATTTTATAAATAGGTATTTTGTATACAAAATTTTTTTTTAAAAAAAAAGGTTTTATATAGGAAATATAAGATTCTTTATGGGAAAATAGGTTTTTTTTTGTATAAATATGATTTTATAAAAAAAAACATATTAAAAAAAAAATTTGAGAAAAAAGCTGTAAAAAAACTAACGTTATGATGAATTCATAACATAATTCTAAAACTTGGGCAAAAAGGGTAAATTTTTGACCAAATTTGTAATAAAATTTAAAATCCAGGCCAAAAGTGTAAATTTTGGACCAAATTTGTAATAAATTTTGAAATCTAGGCCAAAAATGTAATTTTTGAAAGTTGGATGACTCGTTATCCGGTAAAAGGGCTTAATTGAATACGATTACCAGTTTTTAGGACTTAATTGAATAAAAAAAAGTATATGAACTAAATCGATTATGAGGCCAATACGTAAGGGCTTTATTGCAGTTTTCTATATATATATATATATATATATATATATATATATATTAAGATATATATATATATATATATATATATATATATATATATATATATATTACTTAAAACTTATTTGTTAGTTATTCACTTTAAATGGATTGATTTCTTTGCATATAAATCTACCCTAATAAATGAAAATGTTTTTGTCATTTGTAATTTTCTTGTAATTTATATTTTCTTTTCAAATGCTATCAAAAAATTACACATCAGCTTTTTCCACTTGTCATTTTTATAATTTTTTGATTTTTTTTAAATAATAAATCTAACATGATACACATTTAATTAGGAATTAATTACCATATTTTCACCCTCTAATCTTGTCGTTTTAATACCATTTAAAAAATCCTGATTTCTCTCCATTCAATACCTGATTTCTTTTCATTTAATTTCTAATTCTTTTACAAAATCAAATCATTCTCAATATTATCCCACGCTAACCTTGTCTCTCAAAATCCCTTCACGCTTCATCTATATCTCAAAACCTTAATTGAAGACAAGAATCACCAATGATTTGTCAAGAAAATAGGATTCAACAATTTTATAGGTTTACTGGCATGTGAATTTCTACCGGATGATTTTTGAGCAATTAGGTGAGCCCTGCATCGGAGGAGACTGGGGTGATTTGGGGGTTTTATCATATATTCTCTCTTTTCTTCTTTTGTCCCCTTATCGTTTTCAGTATGTTTATTTTAGGTGTTGATTTCTGCAAAAGAAGAACTAGATGCTTCAATTCCACCTGCCATAGATGGTTTTATCATATATTCTCTCTTTTCTTCTTTTGTCCCCTTACCGTTTTCAGTATGTTTATTTTAGGTGTTGATTTCTGCAAAAGAAGAACTAGATGCTTCAATTCCACCTGCCATAGATGGTTTGTTGAAGGTTCATCAACAATATATAGATGTTGACAATGATTTTCTACCGCAGTTGGCTGGAGGATATTCAGTCACCAGATCGAGTGAAAATCTTGGGAGAGGTAACCGGTATTCAAGTTTAATTAATGGGTCAACTTTCAACATCTATCATTATTAATGTCTTTCTTGACGTTTTTATATATTTGAAACCGAGGAGGATGACCATGAGCGACTTGGGAGTAATCATGTTAGAACTAATTGTGATAAATTCTTGAGATCGTGGGTTTAAATTCTAAATGGCTTTTAAACGGAGAAGGAAAAGAGGAATGTGAAGATGATTTCATTTATGAAATAAATGAAGACAGCTTTTGTCCTGCCTCAAAATCCAGACTTTCAAGATGGTTTTTTGTGTAGGCAGCCATCATCGACTATTTGGTCAAATATAACCATTGAGTTGGTACCTTCTGGTTTAAAGGAGCATCATGGAGTCAAAACTGGAAATTGGGATGGATCAGGTGAAGACATATTGAGAAAAACATCATTCTACTTCCATGAAGATGGTTTAATAAAGAGTTTTAGTTCATCTTCTCATGGGTCATTACGGAAAGAAAGATAACTGTTAGTTTGTTAGATATGAGGAAGAAATACAAAAGCTAAAAATTGTGGCTCCAATCGCAAATAAACATGAGGAATCAGTTACTTTGAAGCCCAATCACATAGACTCAAAAACCAATGTTTGTACTCATTCAGTTCTTGTACAGACACATAAAAAAGAAATCAAAAGAATTATCATTCTCTTTATGCCACTCAAGAGTTTGCAACACACAATGGTTACATCTCGATCCTAAAGTTCAGTCATGATTGTAAATACTTGGCAAGTGTTAGTGCATATTGTATTGTCCGGTTTTGGAAGATTTTTGAAGATCAAGATCCAAGAATATATGAGATTCAAGAAACCGATCCTTCATCTTTTTACTTTTCAACTATTCAAATTTCCGAATTAGCCCCTGTCAATAAACAAAAATCATGCAAAGCTAAACAGTTAAAATTTGTTACTTTCATTCTTTGGTTTGCTTGTGGTTTGTTCTTCATTCCATGATGGAATGGATTGTAATCTTAACCATCTTTGTTTATGTAATTTGCAATGACACATATCTTTTTTTTAAGAATTCTCAGTTTTAATTAAATTACAATATTTATATTCTAGAAATATGCTTTCTATCATGATATTATTTTCGTTTTAATGAACTTTTGTTATTATTAATCTTTTATTGTTGTCAATAGAAATTTAATTAATTGATATTTATAATTTAGCAACTCAAAAACTTCACAGATGAGTTGCAGTTTTATTGTGACTCTACCCTTCTTTCATGTCATTGCATATGTTTAACATAGTATGGATTTGAATTAAATCTTTGTATTTATAAATGTTATTAAAATTATCTAAAATTTTGTAATCCTCCTATCAAAGATGCATATTACCATATCAAAGATGCATATTACCAAATGTAGTTTAAAACAATCTCGATCTAGAATTTTGTTACTTCTTGTACGTTTTTTTTTTAAAAAAAAAATCTATATATGTAAGAACCAGTCAGATTCGAATACTAATTTTGAGAAGCTGACTTTTTGGAAATTTCAAGTTTCTATATATCAGCAACATTAGAAAGATGTTATATTTCTATGTTTTGAAATTTTACTTTAAAAATGCTTAACGTTTACACATTGCTATTTAATTTTCTTTTTAATCAACCCGTGTAATACACGGGTCTCGCACCTAGTTATCATAATATTTGTGGATGTATATTTGTTGTTATGATATGAAACTAATTAAAGTTATATGCATTTTATGTTATTTTTTGAAAATAAAAAACTTCTTTTGTTTATTGCTATTTGTTAATTGTTAGTTGTCGATTCGGGTGGGCAGGAGGAAGGAGAACGCCGAATCATTCTCTTTTCCTCTCTCTAACTTCACTTCTTCTTCTCTGACTCTTCTTTCTCTCCCTTTGTGGTCGTGGAGAGTACCCCGGTTGTTTGAGTGGTTCGTGGTTGCTGATTTGGAAGCTCTCCACGACCCTTGCTTGTTGAGAGCATTACGGATGGCCTTAACAACAATGCCAACACCATTGCCCCTATCACCCCTACCACCATCTTCTTCACCCCTATCCAAGGTTTGGGCCCACATTTCCTGTGTTCCTGTCATAAAATAAATGCATATTATGTAATCATATAAACATTTATTGTTTTCAACATATACAAATATAATCCAAGGTAAAATTAAAATATCACAAAAACTCTATTTGTAATTTGATCTCAATTAAAAATGTCAAAACTAACCTCTTCATCATCGTCGGAATCTGAATCTTCATCACTGATCCAGGAAGTGATCACATAGAACACAAGCAAATTGGTCAAGGAGTCAACAATACCAAAACTTTAATATTAAAACAATATAAACATAGTGATTCTGAGTTTGTAAAAAGTTATGTTTGAGAAAAGGATATGGAAGAATTCTTTGTGCACTTAAAATTGTGTAAAGTTTGACAGAGGTATCGGTCCCAGTGTGAGTGAATTGGAAGTCTTTGTCAAATGCGATATTCAAAACTTTTTTGGGCCAGCTACAAGAGTTCAGTCTTCCAGCTACAAGTTCTTCACCGCCATCAACACAGACTTTCAGATAAACAGTCTCCTGTGTCTCATTTCCAAGTATAGCCTTGTCAAGGAACACAACTTTGCCTTCATCAACTTTTATCTTTAATGTTTCACCACTTTCAACCTTATGCACTAAATTAAAAGTTCCCAAAAATAAAATAAAATTATACAACTTAGAAAAATATAACACACAACACATGAAAGGAGTGTTAAAAACAATGGATATTTAAACAAAAAACCATTTTTCACATTATATTTTTAGGATGCAGTGTTCATAGATGTAACCCTTAAACACCTGTGCATATACAATTACCATATTTGAAACAACCTCCCCAAGCCCAAAGAACCAGAGTCTATTTGAAGCTGCATTCTAGTTAATTTCCAAGACAATAAACCATCACAGATAATATAGTTGAGAATAACATATTTTCGGAGCATCCAATATCCATATGAAAACATAAACAAATAAAAAACCATGTGAACGAGACGGGAAAAAAAGAAAACGATGAATATCATCAAAGTAAATCAAAGTCAAGATTTGCTTAACAAAGCCAAAAGAAGTCCACATCTTCATCGGGAAAAAATAAAAATAAAAAATAAATAAATAAAAAAAAAACCTAATTACATAAATGAAAAGGAACATAGAAACAGGCGTGTAGATACTGAAATAGAAATCAAGAAAGATGATTCGTTACCTTTAGTCCTCATTTTTGCAGAAGGAGATATAGATTTCTTAGGAGAACAGAAGCTAGGGTTTTAAGGAAACCGAACGCCAGATAGAGATTTCTTGAGAAGACCCGGATGCGAACCGAACCACACCCTTTTAATCGCTTAACTATGCCAATATAATACTCGGGACAAAAAAAATAAAAAGATAAAACTACAAAATTTATACTTTGTGGTTTTAAAAAAACTTTGTATAGCTTCTTAAAAGTTTTCGGTATAAAATGTCCAAAATCAAAAAAGTTCTCTGATTTTGGTTCTTGGATGATTTGAAAAAACGGTTTTACCTTTTTATTTTATTTTCTCTATTTTCTATATTTATGTTAATACCTTTTTTAATTTAAGAATAAAAAAAAAATATAGTCCTAACCCACCCTATCACTCCACCGGTGGTAACTGTTAAGACATAAAGTGACCATGGGCAGTTCAAGTGTGTAAGCAAAACCGTAGAGTTGATGATTCAAAGGAACCGGAGAGAAGATAAGGCGCACCGAAGAGGATTGTATGTTGTTGAGGTATACCAAAGAGGAAAAGTCCACTTGAGCCTAAAGATGTTGTTCTGTATTTTTTGTGATAAAACAATGATCAACTTTATGCTAACATTTCTTGGTAGCCTAAACAAATGGATTAGGATGTATCTGAATTTCTTAGGCAACATGTTTTTTAATGCTTATGTTGGTGGGTTTTAGATTTCATTTTTGCTGGTTTGATTGTTACTAACGGTTGCATGTGTCCATAAATTATAATCTTTGGTAATTTTAACGACTTGGAACACAAGTTTACCAATTATATTGGCAAGAGTCGTGAACTTAAATAGAGAAATTGAATAACTAAGTTGCAAGTCTTATATTTATTTAAAGTTTAAGTTTCATGTGCTCACTCAAGGACAAGTGTTGTTCACTTGTTCGCTTATTTGTTCATGCTAATAAGTCGTTGGTCTCGATGAGGAATAATTTATTTTATTCTCTTTAATGTTTGAATATAGTTTTAGTAAAGACTTTTAGAGTTCCAGCACAAAATTAGAAATCAAGTGAAAGTGTTTCCTTGTGCCGATAATACCTTTTGAAGCATCTCTAACTCTTTGACTTCTCCTATCAGGCTTTAAGCCGGTTAAGATTCTTGGGAATATTTAATCCGCAAAGGATTACAATGTTCTCAACATTTGTAATTACATTTTTTTTAGTTTTATATGTTTCTTGTTGTTCCCTAATAAAAGAACCGCCATTGACCATATTGGCATATGACCGGCACCGTTGGTTTTTGTTGTTCACGAAAAAAAAAGGTTGGTACAAAGTTTTTTTTTTTATGAAATGGAAGCAAAAGATTATATTAAACAAAATAAGCTAGCAGGGTGCTAGTCATACAAGAAGCAAAATTACAATCAGATTAAAACACCCATTATGACTACAAGAAATTCGAGTATTAGCGGCGACGCCCGTCGCCGCTAAAGGTCAAATATGTCGCTGCTAAGCCGCTAAAGGGTTGCTGCTGTTGGTTCGTCGCTAATGCTCCACTGGTCGCCGCTATTGACTTTCGTCACCGCTAAAAGTGAGTCGCCGCTAAAGGTGCGTCGCTGCTAATACTATCTATCGCCACTAAAGGTGTCGCCGCTATTTATATGTATTTTTATACATACAAATACACATACAAAATACACATATACATACAAAAACACATACACATACATAATTCACATACAAAATACACATATACATATAAATGATCATAGAAAAACACATATACATACAAATACAAATACAAATAAAAATACATATCCACATCTATAAACACAAAATACACATACAAATACACATCTAAAATATCAAAATTATCAAAATTTCGTCATGAACAGTGGTGGTGACGGTAAACTCCGACGAGAACGGTGGGGGATCTCAAAATTCCAACAACCAACACAAATTTAGTAGGGAGAAGAGAAAAGGAAAAGAAAATGGGAAATAATGGAGAGGAAGAGAGGTGAAATATCGAAGAATTAGTGGAAATTCCGATGAAATCGACGGTGGTGAGCAGAGAGAAGAGAGAAGAAACAGAAGATCAGGGAAGAAAGTGAAGACGAAGCAGAATTTATTGTCGACGCTCTTTAGCGGCGACGGGCAGCCTTTAGCGGCGACTCATCGGAGGGAAAACAATCCGGGGTTTCCTACGTCGTTGGATCATTGCTTAAATCGACGGATGGGGTTGAAATGACGCGGATCGCCAGAACAGGCAATAGCGGCGACGCCTTTAGCGGCGACAAACCGGAGGGAAAACAACGCGGGGATTTCTACGTCCTCCTAGTCGTTGGATCATCGCCTAAATCGACGGTTAGGGTTGAAATGACACGGATCGCCAACATAAGCCTTTAGCGGCGACAAACACTTTTAGCGGCGACAAAAAAACTTGTTTGTTTGATGTCGCCGCTAAAAGTGTCCGCCGCTGCTAAAAGTGTCGCCGCTATTGCCTATTATTCTTGTAGTGTATGAACTAGTTTTACTTTCCATTAGAGGATCACAACACCATTCCCTCCAACGTAATATGATGCCCCTTCTTTTTGTGCTGATCCAAAGATGGGACAAATTTCAGATTTATTTGGATTTCTGCCGCTAGCCCAATGTGAGACTTCACCTCCATACTCCGTAGAATGTGTTTTTAGATTTCTGAATTTCCACAATGACCATAAGTACACAAGGATCACAGCCCCTTGTATAACAGCCATCACATTATTGAGCTTGAATTTAAAAAAGGGATATAGTTTTCAATTCTTTAAATTAAAAAAAAAAAAAGGTATAGATTGCTGATCGTAATTCTTTTCCATAAAAAGGGGTTATATGGTTTTAATCTTTCTCTCTCTTCAAAATCATAAGAGTATAAATAGGTTGAGGACATAATTGTCCACATATCAACTATTTCATGGAACTATCAATAGATTCCTTGAAAAAATCAGCACCCTTAAAGTATCTACCCAATTACAGGATTGTAATTTTTTCTTATCATTAAGCCATTAAAAACTCACCTGATAAAAGATTGAACTTCCTTTCCTTTCTTTTCTTTTCTTTTCTTATTAGGACATTATACTTCAAGAATTTTATCCAAATATAACATTGTATGTTCATTTTTTGTGTTGTGTTTCTAAAACAACTTAAAAAAAAACGAACCAGTAAATCTACATGACCAGTAGTTGTAACTAAAACTTAAAATACAACAAATTGCAAGGAAAACAGATGATGAGTAATTTAAAATAGGATGGGTTGTAAGATGTAGCATAGCTATAATTGTCATCATCAATCTTTAAGACATAAAGAGAGGATAGATATGATGTCTTTTTCATATTAACAACAAACCTACTAAACAGACACCATGATATCACAAACTTCCCTCATCACTCTTCAATGAAATCCGCTGCAACCCTCACTTGCAAAGATGTGAACTTGCTTCTTCCTGTCAATAAATTCACATTATATAATTATATACACGTTTGTTGTTTTAACATATACAAATATAAACCAAGGTAAAACTAAAATACCATCTTTCGAGAAAAAACTAAAATATCAAAACAACATACACACAAAAATTCTAAATTGAAGATATCAAAACAACATACACACAAAAATTCTAAATTGGTCAAGGAGTCAACAACACCAAACTTCAGTATTAAAACAATATAAACTTAGTTTGTAAAAAATTATGTTTGAGAAAAGGATATGGATAAAGACTTCTTTGTTCACTTATAACGGTGTGAAGTTTGACAGAGGTATCGGTCCCAGTGTGAGAGAATTGGAAGTCTTTGTCAAATGTGATATTCAAAACTTTTTTGGGCCAGCTACAAGAGTTCAGTCTTCCAGCTACAAGTTCTTCACCGCCATCAACAGAGACTTTCAGATAAACAGTCTCCTGTGTCTCATTTCCAAGTATAGCCTTGTCAAGCATCACAACTTTGCCTTCATCAACTTTTATCTTTAATGTTTCACCACTTTCAACCTTATGCACTAAATTAAAAGTTCAAAGCAATATGAGTTGCCCCAAAAGTAAAATGAAATTAGATCAACACACAACACATAAAAGGAGTGTTAAAAACAATCGATAAGAAAACAAAAAAACCATTTCTCATATTATATTTTTAGGATTAGGATGCAGATAACCATTAAACACCTAGTGCATATTTAAACAAAACACATACAATCACCATGTTGGTTTAATTCAGTAAAAGACCTCAGGGGTATTTTTGGAAACTTACCTTTTACTAAGTTTTTTTTAACAAAACTTATTAATCTTTTGTAACGTAAACTTGAATTGAAAAAACAACTCCAATTTATACTAGACATGAAAGAAACCTAGTACAATACTTCTACCGGAAAAACAAAATCTAAACAAATACCAAAACTTAAAATAAGGAAGCTTTTTTCCAACCCGTGTGATTAAAACTGTCCCAGATTTTTAATTACTTCAACACACCATATTTAAAAATTAAAACATCCCCAAGCCCAAAGGAGCTGCAATCCAGTTAATTTCCATGACAATAAACAATCACACATAAAATATTGAATATAACATACATACAAAGAAGCATCTAATATCCACATGAAAATATAAACAAAGAAAAAGCATAGCATGTAAACGAAAGACGCGAACAAAAGAAAATCAAGGTAAATGAAAGTGAAGATTTGAGTTATCAAGGCCAAAAGTGTTGGGGTTGAAACACACTTTTATTCAGAACTAGAACAAAAGAGAAGAGCTTACACGCTCAATATTACAAGAAAAAGAAACAACCCTCTAATACTCACTCTAAGTATTACACACTACACTCTCTGTTTTGTGGTGTCTTACAACTGAGGTTAGAGCCTCTATTTATACTTAAACAAGCCTACAATTACTACTGCTACCATTTATTGTGTTCATTATGTGAACATACGAAGTTGCCATTTGAGTTCTTATTGTCAACAAAGGAGGGATTCATTTGTCAACTAAAGAGGGTGATACAGCTACTCATG